TGCATGTTAAATTTTCCAGCTGGAGACCTGGGCGATCCCACTAGGAATCTGGGTGCGTTTGCATGAATGTACTTTTCTCCTGCCATTCAGCAGAGACAACACAATAATAATAGCTAGAGAGGGTGCTGAATATGGCAAAATTCATGTGTGTTTTTTTTTTTATTATTATTGTTGTTGTTTGTTTGTTTGTTTTTGTTTTTCAGGAGGCTGTCTTTGGATGGAAGAAGTCCCCATTACTCATTACCCCTTTGCAGGAGTGGTCATCGGGACTGTTATTCTGCAGAGAAGGCCAGTGTTTCAACTGGAGTTTTGTTTCTGCAGAAACCACACTGCATTTTTTTTGTTGTTTATTTTTTTTGGAAGGGGAAAGCCTTCAGGTTGCTATACAGAGGACTCCAGATTAATCCAATCATCTGCAGCAAAAATCTGGTGACTAATCAGCACCAGTTAGAGCCTAGCAGAAGTATTTAGGTTGCAATTATGCTAGGCTATGTTGTGAACCTTCGTTAATAGAAACCTCTTAATTCTTTCTAATATCTGCTGCTTTCCTTACAGTGCTGAATCATGCTGACCATGTCCTCACCAGAAGACCATGCAAGAGGTCCTGAGGTAGTATTTAACTCACAGTCCACCAGTGGTCCTAGATGCACAATGCAAACTTTTTAATGAGCTCAGTCTCCAATTTTCAATTTCTCTTCCAAAATCTCGTTGCTTTGGGGTTACAAATTCCTAAAAAACTGATTTATTTTCCAGGTCATAGAGTGTCTGACAAAGTACCAGACCTTGGGGGAGGCAAAGTGGTATGGGAATGTGCTGAGATCTCTTCCCAAATCTCTCAATCAAGAAGTCCGGGCCACTTGTAGGATTCCCTGAACTGTTCAAGGATCACAGGAGAGGTAATTAAAGTTGAATGTACACAATACATGAAAATTGTGATTTGGAGCCATCCCACAGCCTTCTCATTAGCTCAAAATGATCCCAGTTCCTAACAATGATTTCACTAACCAGTAAAATTAAATACAAACAAATGTATCTTAGCTTCTTGGCCATCAGCTAACACGAGCAAAAAATGTGCTCCCTAAACAGAAGCACGTTCTTCTAAAAGAAGGTTGATGACTGGGATTCTTCTGGAGCCCCAGACACCTCCACTTGCATCAGCAGACCAGGAGATATCCAAGTCCTGCTCATTATGTTGAAAATCTTTCATTGCCCTGCAATAGATTTACAGATGATGTAAAATGCTTCCACATCATGGTGCTCATTCCCCCTTGCCATGGAGTACTGAGACTCAAAAATGCTGAAGCTTCTGCATGACCCTTTGGGTTCATCTACAGAAGATGCAAAGCTGAGTGGATTTGGTATTGGGTCTGTATTTTGGAAAGGTAATTACCAGATTCTTGCAGGGAGAAAAGAGGAGCAAGTGCATTTCCTACCATTACTACCACTGGAGAATGAAGGGGAGGAGCTTGGCTCACAAAATGCTTTATCATGACACCAGCTCCCAAATGGCTAAAGAGATGGTTTCTGTACCTGGCCATCAAAGCTGTTATCATATGGATGAAATCCTGAGGCACATTACAGATGATTTGCTATCCTGATCTACAGACTGGATTTTCATAGTCCTGGCAGAGCTGTTGAACTTCTATATTCTCTACAGAAAGAACACGTTGAACCAAGTTCTGAGCTAATTACAAGTGCTGTAAATTCAACGTGACTTCACAGATTCCAGACTTGCTTCAAGGTGATTGAGATTAGAACATGACGTAGAGACGTATATTGCTTCAGCCACACCTATCCCATCACATGTTCGTCTAACACTACTTCGCTGCTTAATGCAAGGAATGTTTCAGACCTGATGTCAGACGAGCCAATAAACTTAAAGCGATAACCACTCTGCTTCCCTCTGACCTCCACCGAAAGGTCTACTCAACCTTCACTTTATAAGGTTATGCTGACAGCAGAGAACAAGATAGTGGAGAACATCCTAGAGCTAGAAACAGACCAGAGGGAACAGCACCGTAGCAGTTATTATCTTTTCCCAGCTTTTGTTCAATGCCAGATGAAACTCTTCAAGTATTTGCTTTTTCTCACCTTTTGTATGAACCACGTTTTGTTTCCATACATCAATATATTTTAAAACTTGCACTCAGCCCATAGGATCTGCAGGGCAATGGTCGTTACTATCCCTATCCTATGAGTCTAAAAGTCTCCCCTAAACCCGTTCCTGCAGGGATGACAAGGGAGCCAAGGCTTAGAGTGGCAGTAGATGGCGCTGAAGACCTTGGAGCAAACCAAGGACCCTCAGACAACCCACAGCCACCTTGCAGGGCTTCCCGAGAAGCTTTCTCCCCCTCCGTTCATTTCCAACAGAGAAAGCATCACAGATGGACACGGCAAAACCCAGCCACTGCAACTTGGGTCACTTTGGGATCGTGCAGAGCAGGAGCTGGCTTATGCTGAGCTCAGAGAAACTCTTCTCAGAAGGGGATTGCACGCTGCAGGTGACAGTTACTGGGTCTAGCATGGACTATAAAAATGGCAGCAAGCCACAGACCACAGAAGGACCCCATTTCTGGACATCAGCCATGTGCAATGCCTTCTCCATCACTTTGCCACCAGTCTATTCGGAGGGTTCTGCACGGTGGCGGAGCAGTGGATGTCCTTCTTTTCCCTGATGTCAGTAATCTCCTGAGATGCAATTAGGTTTACAGCTTCACAGGTGTGTCTCCAATTACCAAAGTGCTGCAAGTCAGCTCCAAGCCACTGTCTGCCACTGTTACCACGAGGCTGCTGGGAACTTGTGACAGCCTGTACCGTGAGATTTCAGGTCAGGAACCATCATACCTTCTCTTATCTGATAGAACATGTTGTATCTTCTATGGAACTCAATGTATCTGACTGAAATGAATAAAATAAAATAAAATAAAATTGACCTTGACCTCCCAGACTTCTCTGCCTGTTCTTCCTGGTTTCAGGGCAAAAGGAGAAGAAAGTTCTCGCTTGGTGTGTTACACAGCAGGGGATGTACATGTGTTATGGCACAGTGCCATACCCTGTGTTGCCTTGGCTTTGGAACTACATGGGTTTCCTAGGTGGAAAGTGCAAATTTGTGTCATTTCAGTGCCAGCTAGGTGCATCTGTGGCAGAAAAGCACACTTAGAGGCGCCCACGGCTATGAGCGGTGGAGGGATAACTGCAGGTGCATCATGTGTCATAGTGAACCACTTTCTGGCATGACTAACACAGGCCTTGCCTTCTACCCATCCTAAAAACACAGAGGGCAGAGCAGATCTGATGCTCTCCAGAGCTGCCTGAGCTCCCCATCCAGTCAGTGGTATCGATGGTACAAGGACTTTTTTATTGCCTGTGCCTAAAGCGAGCATCACACACACTGCTTGCACTGTGAGCCAGGCATCGCCCACCTTTGTCTCGAACTTAAACTGCAATGTGGGTGCTGAAACATGTTGCAGGTGCTGCAGCGGGGCATCTCCATGCAGGTTTGTGTCCTCTTAGAGAATTGCTGCCATAAAGACTATAAAAGCAGATTGTTACTGATAAGGATAAAACACCTCCTTAATTACCTGTGGGTTTAAGGGGCAGACAGAGCTGGGTCAGAACAAAATCTCCAAGCTGTCCTTAACACTTCTCTGAGTTCAAATTCACTCCCTGAGACTCACCAGGGCAACGGAGAATCACCCTAAGGATCACTTCTGAAAAAAAAAAAAAAAATCCTGGCTCGATAAAACACTCAGGTTGGATGAGGGCTCCCCTCCCTTAAATATCCTCGAAGACATTCCAAAAAACCTTTCCCTGGGGCCCATTCCCTGACCTCTTGCAGCCCATCAGCTATTCATCACATCGCAGGTCATCATGACCATTTTAGGCAGGAAATTAAGCTTCTCTCGCTAAACACCCTTATCTTATCACCACAGTCAACATTTCGAACTCACTTGCCCCACAGACATTTCCCTTAATATCCATAAAGCTGGGACAGATCAAAGGGTAGTTATCACATGTCATGTGTGCTCACCATTAAGGAAAGCTTTTCTCCCAGGTGCCACACCTTCACATTTTCCCCGTGGCTTAATTCAACCTACCAGTGGATGAAGTGCATTAGTGGCCATGGGAGTCAATCAGGAACTTTTCCTTTTGAGTCATACAAGGACATTTAGTTTTTTTCTTGGTAGCTACATCAGAACGATCAGATCATTGAGGCACACTTAGATTCATATTGATTCAACCAAATAAAATTGGTATACAGTTTTAACTAAATGGTTCTACTGTTGTTTGCTCTGGAGGAGATATCAAGGATTTTATGTTTATTCAACCCCATTCTCATAAAAGAGCATACTGGTATTAAGTGCATCTCTATATTGACATGTTTGTAACAAGGCAGACTGAGAAAAGTCTTTCTTGCATGTGTGCATGCAAAAAAAAAAAAAAAAAAAAAAAAAAAAAAAAAAAAAAAAGGCATCATATGCCACGTATTCACTTCTGCAGACATCAGATATATGCAATACTAATGCCAATGCATCCAGACTATCACTTCCAGCACTGGATTCATACCTGGGTGAATGTGGGTGGATATATATATATATGTATATATGTAAATGCATATGCACACATACACACATATATATGTAAAAATTTGTGCATGCATGAGGATAAATGGGTGGATGGATGGATGAGTGATCCAGAAGAGCATTTGTGTGGAGGTCCAGATATCCAAAAAGAAACATTCTTGTGCATGTGGACATCAACTTGCTAGATATCCTAGCATATTTATAAAAACCTTGCAGGCAGGATATCCTTCCTGCCCTGCCTCTGCAGACAGAAGTGAGCCCAGGTTCTTTGGGAAGGAAGGTGTCTGGCATGCAGCGTCGATGTGAGTGTGTCCATGAGACAAAGAGAAACAAATATTTGTATGCTGAGTGGTGATGAACAAATACTTGCCCGTGTTTATTCCACACCCCAGGGTGGGGCTGGCACTCAGGCTGATCAAGTGAGCCTTTTTTGTATTTGTTCTGGCACTCTCTGGGGTTTTTCCCCAGACCTTTCCCAGCCCTCCAGAGGGGTTTGGTTTGGGAGGTAGGGGCGTGCTGGACAAAGCTGCTCCGTAACTATCAAGGGTGCAGGGGTGGGATGGGGACTGGTTGATTGGGGAGGATTAATGAGCAGTGTGGGGAAAGGGGAGGCATCTCTCTAAATACAGAATGAGTCAAACTCACCTCTGGGGAAGGGAGAAGACAACCTGAAGCAGAGAAGAGGCGTTGACGAGGTACCATATGTGCACCCAGTCACATCCACTGCTGTTTACTCAAGCTGGAGGGATGTGAGCAGAAGCAGAACCTGATTTAGGTCACATAAGCCTTTCTCTTTGCTCAGTGCTGGAGTCAAAACATCCCTTGAGCAAGAGAAGGAGGAGACAACGAGCTGGTGCATTGTGTGGGTGATCAGATAGGACGTGATGCACAGTCCTGGATGATGCCATTTCTCCCAGCTGAGTGCTCCAAGCAGAAGGCGGTTTTGCAGCTCTCTAAATCCTTTTTTTTTTTTTTTTTTTTTTTTTGGTGTGGACCTTATAACAGGCTATTTTGGTTTTATCTGACACTTTATTTTCATAACCATGCAGCTTTGCATAAGTAATGAACACTGCTCTCACCACGTTCTGTAAAGCAAACACTAGCTGGCAAGGAGCTCGCCGTATTTATGCACCTAAAGGATGGGCATGGTTTGGTTCCCCATCTCCCTTCTCTCCCACGCTGCCTTCTCAGCGCACAGCCTCTGGGCTCTGCATGAAACCTTCCGGATTGTTAATTCTGGGCTCTGTACAAAACCTTCTGGATTGTTAATTCAGCACAGCGAGGACCTATGTACAGCTCCATGTCCATGCATGGCTCCGTGCCACAACGGTTGCATCTTGGTCAGCCTCTAGGCACTTGCCCTCAGGACTTAATTGGCCTCACCTGCAATTTTCTGACTTGAGGACCTGAGTTTCCAAAGTCCTTAGAGGTTTTGGTGAAGTCATGGTGTTCAGCATCTCTGAAACAAAGACAGAAGGTGCCATGCCAGGAGCACCATGGCAGCTAACCCAAAGCATCTGGACCACATCTCTCAATTTTTTCCAAGTGTAACAGTGGTAGAGCTAAATGTAGGTCCAGGGGCAAGCCACCAGTTCTGCCAGGCTGGTAATTCAAGGGAAGTAACTGGCAGAAACCCTTTCACCAGGAGATTACATGTAGAGAAGCATCATAAAATCAGCGTTGATGGATGGTTGTCTCTGCCAGGGCAACAACAACAACAAAAAGGAAACAAACAAAAAAAAAAAAAAAAAAAAGAGACTTTAAGACCTGTGACCAAGCAATAGGAGAGCTACCCAAAATCTGCCTAGCCGTAAATTAGACATGGTTTTTGCCTAAGCCATGCAGAGCACACCAATTACTGGAAATGAGTCTCTGCGACACATGGTCACGTCCTTCCCCTCCTCCCCTTCCTCCCCCCTGCTCGCAGCCGCAGCTCTGCCCTTTCGTTTTGAGCAGCTGTGCTGCTTCCAGCAACCAGGCGAAGATGCAAATCTCAGTCACTTCTTCCACTCACCGCATGTGAGAGGACTGCATTTACTGGTGGAGAGCCGTCACTACCCACGGCTTTAAGCGCTGCTGTATGCAAAGCCTCCAGACTTTCTTATTCAAGGGAGACATTAACACCACAGGTTTTCTACAGGCTTCATTATAAATGGATAGGCAAATCCCATCTGAAGTCAACCAGCCTTATTGCTTAGCAGGGCTGCTGCAAACTTTTCTCCATCCAGGTGGAGAATTAGGCAGTGCAATAATTAAACAATGGTTGCCAGCTGCAAGAGAAGCTGCAAATTTTTGCCAGGGGCAGCATGTGCCAGGCAAGGCACAGGTTGTAAATCAAAGCATCAGCACTACTAAACACAACATCAAGAAGTTAAGGATGGAGTAAACGTCCAGTTTCCCTTGTGTTTTGTGGCTCCACCAGCTAGATCTGTGACTCTTGCTAGAGGCTACACCAGGAATTTATATTCAAAGAAAAGACAGATCCCTCCAGGGATCAGTGAAGCCTGCCTGGGGATCCTGGCAATAAGTAAGGTGACGATCTACCACTCCTTCTCCCAGATGTTTCCTGGACAAAAAGAAACCACAAAAAGGCTTTGGGCTCCTGGAGAGCTATTACTGAATCCACTGCATCCCTCTCTGACCTCCTGAGGTACCCGTGTGAGCATGTGACACTCCCAGGCATAGTAATAGTGATAGTAGTAGTGATAGTAATAGTGATAGTGGTAGTAAGTCATAGTAATAGTAATAGTAATAGCAATATTAATAGTAGTAACACAATAATAGCAACTATAATAATAACTACAATAGTATTAGTAATAATAGCAATAGTAAAAATAATCATAATTATACAACTTTTCCATCGGTCAGGAGACCAACCCATTTTGGGATGATTTGCACACATAGAGCCCAGCACAATGGGGGACCTTCAGCAACACAACACCTCCTGACATGTCTTGCAGCTGCAAGGAGGTGGTCATGGAGGCAGTGTGAGGAGGGTTATCTGCACCCACTGCTGCATTTTGGACCCCAAGGAAAAGAAAGCTGCTGAGATATGCTGCTGGGGCACAAGGAGCAGCAGCTGCATGTCTCACCTGGCTGTCCCCATAAAGGAGGAAGGAGGGCACTGTGGGTGAGGAGCAGGATGGAACCCAGGTGGTGACCACATTGAGCATCTCGCTGAAATCCCTTCCAGGGCATGTCCCCGTCACTGTTTTGGGAAGAAACCTGAGCAGGATGTGACCATCTCCATCCATCCATCTCTGCTCCATAGGGTGATGCCCTCCATCAGAGGGGTGCCCCATGGAGGTGTCCCAAATGGCAAGTGAGGAACAGTGCCACTCACCTGCCCTCCTGGCAAACCAGAGCCAATGTGCTCCAAAACCATCTTCTGCCCCTCAAAAGCCCACACCTCCTGCCTTCCACATGCAAACATTTGGGACATATTGGGACCGAGTTTTGCTCTGAGCGCTGGGAGGAACCAGCCTGCTCTGAGGAACCTGCTTTGGCAGGGGGGTTGGACCGATGATCTTTCGAGGTCCCTTCCAACCCAGTTCTGTGATTCTGTGATTTGCCCACTTGTGGCATGACCACGGTGTGCATCACACCCTGGTCTGCTCCTTGCCCAGCAGTGCCCAGGCTTCTCCAGCGCAGCTGTCACAGAGTTTGAGCAGCCCTTGCCCTGACCCTGATTGTTTTGCCAATACAAACACGGCCTGGCATGTTCCTGCAGAAAGCTTCAATTTTTGACTAACCAGCCTTTTCTGATGGAAAGAAGCTCGCCCAGAAGAATCTTGCCTGGCTATGCCTGCACTCCCAGCCCTGTTTAAAAGGAGCTGACTTCTCCCACAGCCTCTGCTCTGCTCCATTCCTGCTCGGGCGAGCTCCTGCAGACAGCGCAGCTATAAATAATCCTAGCCAGCATAAGAAACAAGCTCCTTGACAGTTTTATTTTCTGCAGGCATGACCAATCTCAATGATTTCATTTGCTCTTTGTGCATATTTGCTTTGGTTCCTTGCTTAATTACTTGAAAGCAGATGCTGCTGGATTTCCACCCTGGAATATATCTGTTTTGCAACGAAAGCCTCAGTGCTGTGCATTGTCTCATCTGCCACAAGCAGAGGTGATGATAACCAAGAGCAGCTGGGGAGCAGTTAATGAGATGCAAAATGTATCCAATTCAATGGAGGAGACAAATCCTGACTCTGCAATATCTCTCAGGCCCATTTCTTTCGGCACATTTATTCCTAAGCCCTCGCAGCAAATGTTTATTCACACAGAGGTGTCTTGACCTCTGGCATTTGTGCACTATTTGCTTGAGACTTCCCACGCAGCCTGGCTTTGAGCACCCTCCCACAAAACTGGACTCAGAGCACTTGCAACAATGGGTCCCGCAGGTGTTTATCTCGAATCACCCATTGAAAACAATGGAGGGATGTAACAGCTGCTCGGTATTTCATCTGACATTTGCACCGGGGGCAAACACAACCCCTTTTGAAGTAGGTGGCCAATTTGCTTGTGCTCATTAGCACTCTAAATATCGACTTCCAGGGCAGAATGTCATTATTAGATATTGCTTGTGCTTCTTTTTGCACTGATGTTGATCCGTAACCTGCAAGGGATGCACAGTCAAGAGAGCTCCTATAATCACGCAGTCAAGGAACGGCCTGGGCATTATGGCTGTGTGGGGTCCTGCCTGCTCCTAGCAAACATCATGCTTTGCAAAAACCCCTGCAGTGCCACAGAGGATGAGCCAGGAAGCCCAATCCTCCTTCCCAGAACAACAGATAAACCCACTGGCACAACCAGATAGGGAAACATTGTGCAACGCACTGCTTGCACTGCCACTGGGAAATACCAGAGAGTTGTATTCCCTTGTTGCATCTATGCAGAAAACAAAAATAAAGCCTCCCAAAGAAGCTGAAAAACTCACTTTGTGGGCTCAGACACATGCCAGTGGCAGCCCACCAGCTAAATCCCAGCAGCCGAGCACGCGTGTGCTCTCGCTCCGTGGCAAGCGTGCGATCACCTGCCTTCTCCTAACCCTCACGTCGCTGCTGAGTCAGCCTCCTCATGGGCAAATCAGCTTCGCAAAGAGCCTTCCCGGGCTGCCTGACATCCTCACGGCCCTTAATCGCCCTGCCTTGTCCTTGCTGGTCCTCGGAGCAGCCGTGCAGGCAGCGGCGGCTTTGCAAGGAGAAAGCGGGCGGCCGCAGACATGCTCAGATCAGCTTAGCAGATAGGAATGTAATTAATACCTGCACTAAGCCCACCGCAGACACACGGGTGGGCTTTCTGTTTGAGCTCACTCCTCCCAACCCATTCAGCCTGTCTGGTGGCCGTCCGTCTCACGTGGTTTCCAAGAGCATTTCAAGGGGAGATAGCGAGACGCTGGAGACGCGGGGCTGAATCCTATCTGCATTCCTCAGCCCGGAGCTGCTTTCTGCTGGCTCTCCCAGGAGGGGCCTGCAGGTGACCTGTTGTGTGGGTAAGGCGTGTGACCAGCCCCACCTGAGATAAGAGCAATGAAACCCTCGTTTCCTCTTCCAGGAGCAACAAAGAGTGGTCCCCCACTCTATCACTATTGCTTCTTTATCCCCCAGCATTACCATAAATTTATCCAGCACGGTATTTCCCAACAAAGCAATGTTTTGACAAAAATAGGCCAATTGTTTGTTCCAAATGTCTTCATTTCAATGGATGGAGGGCCACAAGAAGAGTTTTGCCCATTTTCCAGATCATCTCTGCAGAGTGAGGGATGTTGGAGGCTGCTCCAAGGCACAGGGATCCACTTGGGACCTCTCCCCTTGCCATTGCTGTCAGGGGACAAGGATATATTTTTTTCAATAAATGGAAAGGAGCTTTGGAAATTTTGAAACTATTGGTTCCCATCCCATTTGGACAGGCAGATGTTTTTATTTTTATTTACATTTGTAAGACAAAATCTCTGTTGAACTGAAAGCATTGGTTTTCACCCAAATTTAACCAGGAGTCCTGCAGACCTTTTATTGCAATCCTCCTGACTTCATTCACCTTGTTTCCAGTCCCATCTCTCTCCAGTGCTTTCTGATTCTTACAAATGACTTTATGATGTATGCAGACCTGTATTTCTCACTTTTGTGCAAGTCAGGAGAAAACATGCCAGAAGAAGAGGCTCAAAATTAAATCCTGTACGATGTCTGAGCTCAGGAATACTCACTACAGGCCTGTGCTCTGGTTTAGCAAGGATGGAAAGGCATCCTAGTCATTCTTAAAAATTAATTATGGTGAATATTAGTGAATTATTACTTTATTATCCCTTATTTATACAGCAGCTTGTCCCTGCTGGGTAATTTATAGACAAATAAGAAAACAACTTCCATCCTCCAAGTAGCTTGTAAATGGAGGGCTGGAGTCTGATCAGCTCATTCACACAGATGGGGGCTGTGACAGTGCAAAAATTTCAATGAGAATGCACCCAAAGAGATGGTTCCCTCCCAGGAAAAGCTTTGAGAAAATATTAAAAACATAAATCCAGGTGCTGGCTGGAAATGGGTTGGGATTTTGTGGCGATGACTCTGATGCTGTAGCTGGGTACATCTCAAGTGGAAAAGGCAACCTCCTATTCCTGGATCCTGCCCTGGGGACAGCCCCAAGGTTCCTTTTCTCTCCTTTTCTCCAGGAGGTTAAAGCCACCAGTGCAGCCACAAAAACCTGATGTCTCACCCTGGTACCCGCACAGCAGAAGCTGGGCAGGGGGAGCTGCTGCTGGTTGAGCAATTATGGGATGTGTTAATTAACGAGATAACCTGTAGTCTGTCAAAGGATAAAAGGGATGCTGTTCAAAGAAGACAAGCTCGCAGAATGCCTACACTGCACCAAAAATACAGAGTGAGAAGGGGCAAATGCCTGGCACATGGTGGGAACAGGGCAGTCAGAAGGAGCAAGGTGGATGCATGGCAGGAGAGCACGTCTGCCACTTGTCACAGATGAATCAAGGCTGGGCAGAAGGATGAGCGGGTGAGTCAGGGTGCCTGCGAGGGTGGCGGCACCCGTTGGAGTGAGTGACATTAATCCTGGCCGGAAGGTGAAGAAGCAGCCCTGGAACAGCCAGAGTAAGTCACAGTCCCTGCAGCATCACCAGTGGGAGAGACAGGAAGGAAATAAGCTATTAACACTTGTACCACCACCCCAAAAACTAGGTCAGTGGTGTGATTTGCCTGTAGGGTCCCTCCAAGGACGGTGTGCTTGCAGTGCAGCGTGAACGGGGTGACCAGAGAGCTGTATGAGAC